ACTCTACAAAACCCTCCACCCCTCTACTTCCTCCCCCTCGCTGCTCTCGCCACCCTACCCAACTCGTGTCGCCTGAAAAAGGCGCCAAAGAAGTGTGTAATGACGTGCCAGCTGCCTTGACCTCGACGGTCACTCGGTGTTCGACGTGAGAAAAGGCCAGGCGCCAGCAGAGCTTGTGTTTTACGCCCAAGGGGCCCCCGAGCAGCTTCGTGGTTGGAAATAGCAAAGTTTATGACAAAAAGAGATTGGCAACATGATCGACACATCCGGAACCGAAGGATCCTTGGCAAATATGGTTCCTCCAGGGTGTGGAAACGAGCGAAACGAAACGGAAAAAGAAGGTTCGGGTTGGTGACCAAACGTTTTTAGCAAAACGGAACGCAAGGGTTTGGTCGGCCAAAGCCAAGTGAGGTCGTTTTGCTAGTCTTTCAATTGATCTACTTGAAGGAAAGCAGGTCAGATTTAAGCGTCTTCTACGGCAAACGAATCGCCGGCATGCCAGAATCCTCGTACATACTTTCCCGTTTTACCGTTACCCATAGTTAGATGCGCGCCAGGATGCTAACGTCACCACCTTAAGCTTATACATCAAATGAAGCTTGAAAACAGATCCAATTCTGATTTGTCATTCACCAGGACCACCACCGCTACCCGCATTCATCTGTGAACGGCAAGCCTCCAAACAAATTCACCAAGCGTGGCCCGGCCTAAGTGGCCCTCTGCCTCACGGTCCTTACTGCTGAAGGGGTTGTAGCCATCGTGCCTGCGCAGAAAATAACTGGCGCAGGTCAGCAAAAGCTCTATGTCTTTGCAGGACCGGACTACCAAAAGAACTTTGATCAAAGATCAACATTCAACCCATGGACATCATTCTAAGTCTAATAAGAATCAACTCTTCTGAGAATGGACCTCGTTCCAGTTCCAATACATGACATCAATCCATGTATGATTGTTATAATCATAATCATGATTAAATCTATTACCAGGCGGATGCTCTCAACAGCTACATGCGACGTGGTTCTCATTTCATATTGGGTGAGGCTTAGCACCTGTAGGCGTTGCAAGTGAGCACCGCCATGACCCCGTGCTGGTGGTTGGCACTTTGCATCGTTTATTCTCCCCGTGGTGTCCCAACTGACCCTTTTGGGGCTCCAACCGTAATATGCTCAGCAGGTGGTTAGAACCCCCAAACCCACCCCGACCACCTTCTCAGGAGGTAGTTGGAGCCCTAGGTGAAAACAGCTACTCCTTAAACAATAGGAGACACTCATCAAAACAACATGTGTTGCGACGGGAGCCGTCACCATCGGCATGTGGGGGACGACGGTTCACTGGTGACGCTCAGGTGACCAAATCCGTGCAAGAAAACACGATTCATCCACGGCTTAAAGAAGAAAGACATGACTCATCAAAAAATACAAACGTTTCTCTCTTTTTGAAAAAAAAAACAGCAAAATCATGACCAAGGCATACCAACGTTCTCTTCTTTTTGAACAACAACTAAACAAAAAACAAAAAAAACAAAGGCCAGCACCATGGCACCATGTCGATCTGAGTACCCCAATTCTTCACCGGACCTCCTGGGGATCCGCACATCTCTGAAAACCATTGGATGTAGCATCGGAGGATTGCAGAGCAGCAGTTAATGAAGATCAAAATGGTGCCTCGCTTCCAAACGCGCGCGATGACTCGACTCGCTCGCAGCTCAACTCGCAAGTCGACTCGCAGTTGTTTCTTCCAATGGAACTTTGGTTGATTTCTCTGGATCCTTCAGGCTGGGGCATTTAGGAGTCGACAAGGCAGGCATACTTTCCAGGTTCCAGTCTGACATAGTCTGACTGATGGGTCAATCTCAAAGACCTCAAAGCCGCATGGGGTTGACGTTCGGGCCTTTTTGGTGTCTTTCTTGGAACATCTTATGATGAAGCTCCTCGTCCAATGCCCAGGAAAAAACATGAAGCTCCTCATCAACAGAACAAATTGAACAAACGTTGAGTCATTTAGTTTAGTTTTCTTTAACGAGCTCCTGTATTTAAACATTATGTCTTTGAAGGATTCCCCCAAAGTACACACGTTGACATGTTTATCTGAATTGGAGTAGGTTTTCGGCATTGCTTTCCCTCCCGTTGCATCTGTGGCGCTATTGAGAAAGAGGAAACCTCAGCAAACCGCAAGACCCGAAGCGAACATCCTGCAGAAAGGTCCGGGAGTTGTGTTCAACCATATAGACACCATCAAGTGAGCAGCAAAGATTTTGCCGTATATCACATGGGTATGGATGATATAGATGGGGGGATTGCTGTAGCCCGTTTCTGGCAACCAATGGGCCGGTTTCTGTGCTTTTCCTTGATTTCACTGCCTCAAATCATACTGTGTAAAGGTGTCTTAGCTAGGTGTCCCAAAGTGTCTCAGCTGCTCATCAACGCACCAGCCTCATACGGAATCCTCACGGTTTGCTACCAGTTTCGAAACATTCGACCCCTTCATAATGACATGAACGGACACCTCTTTGTTTGGAACGGTGTCACCTTCTGGACACGCCAGTACATGGTCAAGTGGGCCCGTTTTCTACACGAACGGCTGCCCAGTTCGATTCTTTCTTTGGGGCAATGCTTTTAGTTTGAATTCATTCTCTCCTGAGATTTCACATACTGAATATCATACAGTCTCCGGACTGTCTCCTAAAACACTGTCACGAGGATCATTTATATTGTCAGATGTAACATTTAACATCAAGGACCTTCAAAGTGACCCTTTGATATCCCAGGATGAGGTCACTTAGGTCTGTAAACGGTCACTTAGAGACTCCAAAGAGGTCATTTTGAAGGTCCTGGATTTAGGTTCTTCAGTGCTTCAGCATTGTTCCATCAGGAACTGAAGAAGTCACAGCCAAAGACCCAGCTAAACCAAGACGCAGTGCCAAAGAGCAAAGGCCTCAGGTGGATGGTAACGCCCGCCATATCAGCGGATGCGTTCCGATCTTCGCAAACACAGGACCTTCATAGTCTGAATGAGTTTCTGCCATTCAAGAAGATTCCGTACTTGGAGGCCATCGTTAGTAGGTTGGAAGGCCCTCTTTTGGGCTGGAAAAAGATGGGTTAAACGCTGTGCGGAAGGGACTGCCGTTATTCTTTCCCGTGATTTCTTCTCCAGCGGCCCTTGCCAAACTGGGCAGATCCAAACCCTCAAAAGTCACCCACTTGGTGAATGGCCGACATCGCAAAAAATGACAGACATCTCAATCAAAAGCTGGGCTGTATTCACTCTGAAAGGGATTGGAATATGTTTTTGTTGGGCTGTACATTATCTTGATCTACAGCAAAAAGCCTTACAATACCATACAACACACTAGAATACCCTTTCAAGAATACAAACAATCACTCATGGTAACCAGATTCTGATCCAGGTCTTTCTTGTCTGGTTTGAAGTTTGCGGCAAGACTAGTTGTTCGACACCTTTTAGAGAAACACCAATCACGAAAGGTTGACTCCTAGACTGCTACCCACCCGTCCATGCTTACTAAGCTTTCGTTAACCCCCCTTCTCTCAAGTCCAAGACTTGCCTTGATTGAGGTGCTCATTCAGGATAGGACTTAGCCAAATGATATCCAATGATGGAAATCTGAGAATGGGCCAATGCCAATCACATATGCTGGCACTGGCTCTCCAGCCTACATAACAACACATAGATGTCACACGACATATAAATCCAATTAGCCCTTTAGGTTGCTATGCCTAAGCACCCTCCACTTCGCCCGCCGATGACCAGCGGAGTGAAACAGCCACACCCACCCCGCAGTCCATCCCGGAGGAACACTTTGAGGGATTATGATATAATAAGTCCATCCCTATTCAAACACTTGTTCTCCCCTACTCCATTGCCAAAGCTTTTTTCATATTGTTTTTGTTATATAATTGCTTTCGTACTTGTCACAGAACCCTAAGAATCCGGGCCCTCAAACACATAGACTCTTGAGCCTATGGAGGGTCCGACCACTGGCATGGAGAGCCCAAGGCTCCTTATAGGGAATAAACATGAATAAACCATTTTCCAATTCCTGGAGGCTTGCTGTACATCTGCACAACCTGCCTTGCATTGTTAGCCTTTCACCCCTTTTCACCGCACTCCAGAAATCCTCTCCCCAAACCGCGGGCACCTGGACCGCCCGCCCAGCACCGTGAGTCCGCCGAGGCACGCCGGCGGCCCAGGAGCGTCCCACGTTCGCCAGGCTCAAATGCCCCCAAGTGGGGATGATGTAACCAATGACTCGGGGGTCGCGCGAGCGCAAAACGCCGCTACGACACCGAGACAGCGGGATGTTTGTTCCGTGATGTCTGGGGAGGACAGAATCAACGGCAGGGCTGACAGAAACAGTTGTCGTATGTTGTCGTGTCCTTCGCTTTGGAGTTTTTCAACTCGGAGTTCTCTAGCTAGTGTAAAAACGAGATTCAGGTTGTGGATTGATTTGAGAAGCATGCATCCTTGGTGCATTTATGTGCATATACAATGAGAAACTGGTATGACAACCATTAACAACCCCTTTCTCACAGCACCCAGCCTAGCGTCCACCTTGTGACACACTGACCAACTTGGCAACCCCGCAGCGTTTAAATGATAATGCCTAAAGGATCCTGGATATGAGGCAACGGCAACCCTGCAGTGGCACCACAAAGCAGTTTGACCACCCCTTGTATCCAGCAACCAAGTCTTTTGGAGACCCCCCCCGAAAGACTTGCTGCGGACGATCTCCGAAGTGCAGGAA